ATTTAAGCATGGCTAGTACAAATGTGTATTTAAAAATAAATGATCACATGGCAGGGCTCTCAACACTTCATAATCAATCATCTTATCAAGTGTCATAATGTTACGAATAGAAAAATCTATTGAGACTGTTTCAAAGGATATGATTAAAGCAGACGGCAAAATAAGTATCTTTAAGCAGCAAATGTTTTCCACAATAAAGAAACTTAGCCTAAAATTGTTTTGCATAATAAATCACTTCAGTAGAAGAAAAAAATTCTTGCTCAGCTAGTCATTTAAGAAGGTCTGATTTCTACAGGAATAAAAACATCACGGACATAGAGTACAAAGCAAAGACTGCCACCTCAGTCACCTGGTCTCTGCAGACAGAATCGTGTCCTCAGCATTCCTAACTGAAAAGTGAAAGTTGGAAACCTTGGCATTAGATTATTCGTTTTTTCACTAAAAAAAATGAATTTTTGTGTAGATGCTGTTTTGGACACGGTGGACATATCAGAGTACAAAGCAAAGACTGCCAGCTCAGTCACCTGGTCTCTGCAGACAGAATCGTGTCCTCAGCATTCCTAACTGAAAAGTGAAAGTTGGAAACCTTGGCATTAGATTATTACGTTTTTTCACTAAAAAAAATGAATTTTTGTGTAGATGCTGTTTTGGACACGGCTTTATTTTCTACTTGTTATACAGTAAGATCAAGTGTTTGCAAATGCATAAACAGCCAAACACCCACCCCAGGAATATACATGTGAGTGGGAAAGACACAACAAGGATGTTTGATTGTGTATGTAGGAGAGAAAATTCCTATGGAAGAGCCTGTGGCAGGCACACAATGTGAGACCATTGCTCCAGCTACCCAGTATACAGTCAAACAGCTGTCAGCAAGCCAGGCCTTCCACCCATGGAAAAGCAGCCACTCGCTTGTGTAGCAAAATTCAAATGTTTTTTCTGTATATAACAGCAAGTTGGCATATAAATACTGCTTTGTGAGATGTTGTGAGACATTGCAGTCTGTAAATAAGCAAAAATAATATTAATAAATTCAGTCATGAGCCAATTTTAGGAGGAAAAACTCTTCTAATGTTTCTATTACTTGAATCTATCCCAAAAGACTTTATATAAATGAAACAGAGGATAAAAGAAACACAAGTCTGCTGAAATTTACTTTTAAAAGAAATTACCTCAGATAATATTACACAGAATACCACTTTTCACACAATTCATCACAGCATAAACTATGGTCCTAAAACACTTACTAATTAAGAGTCTAAAAGTAAACATACCAGCCTTTAATAAAAAGTCTGATAATCTTTTGGCAAACATCAAATGATTTTAACAATAAAAATTTGGAATGTTTTACTTTAACATACAAATGGAAAAGACAAACCAGACTTCCACTCAGAAACTTATGGGGAGGAATTTAAGCTCATCTATCCCTGTACTCCTTCCATTATCAACAGAATAAAGAAATCCTGAGCGAAGCATATCTGATTTAATTTAGGGATTTATTTTACCATGGAACTAAGGCCACACTGTGAATGTGTGGTCCGTCTCTCTCAATGGAGTGCAGACTCACTTTGAGTAGACACCTAAATGTCAGATGATTAATTTTGGTAGTTACACTTTGTAACATCTAGTTTTGTAGCACTGGAAACACCACGTATATATACAATAATGTTTTATTTTAAGTTTAGCAAGTACTAAAGGTGAGACAAACAGGTTTTTACAACTTTGGGATGCACAAGCAAAGAATAAAATTCACTGACTAGAGTCACTATTCAATTTCCTAGGAAGACACCAAGAACTTTCTCTGTTTATTTCAGATCTGCATCTGTCTTGTAACAATTTTATCTCAGTGATGTTATTCAACACAGGTCACACAGATATGAGAAGGCAGAGAGGAAGATGGACGCTTTCACAATTAAACTATTACCTTTAACCTTTAAACCCTGCAAGAACTTTACTAACACTTACATGCTTACTATTATAATATGTCGCAAAATATGAATATTTTGATCTGAACTGAGTGAAAATCTACCTAACTCTGTAACTGGCACCGATTTGTTTATACTCTGCAAAAGACTCCAGCCTGTAAGGTGTTTAACAAGACTCACAGTACCACAAGAGTCCCCTATTCCTCAGTATTAAATACAGATTCCCCTCTACCAGGCATATTTTTGTTAGTTTTTGTAGTATCTGCTCTGAATTTCCTTAACTGTGTACATGCTGTCATACATGGAGACACACCTGCTTTGCAATATATTCTAATGCCTTTTCTGACAAAATTTGTTTTTCCTGTCATTTTCAACAGTTCAACTGTATGAGCTAGAGAACTAATGTACCTGTTTTTCAGGATGATAGACAGAAGCATGAAAAAACTTGGCAGTCAAGACCATTATTAAAAATACAGATTTATGTAGATAATATTGCCTTTATAAGAATTTTATTGAGTGATATATATGTGTGCATCATACCTGATACATATATTCTTTCCCAAAGATAAAGTACAAGGCATTTTGAAAACGGCTTGAAATTTACACCAGCAGAACACATTAAGCAAAGAGATTTCTCTAATTGTCATTAGGTAATATAAATTGGTACATTTCACAGCCTTCAGTGATACACCAGACTGTACTTTATTTCTTACTGGCCATAGTGCTACTGTGCTATCTGGGCAGGAAGACTATCTGAAACCTGCCATTTTATGGCCAATTACATGCATTCGGTATGTTTCTTTGATTTAATGTCTGTGTTTTCCAAGACTTCTGATCTAATATTACAAAACTGTAGCAGAGAGGCAATCTCTGACTCTTTTTTCATAGAAATCTCTCAATATATCTAGAATCAGTTCAGGTAGAGTGACTCAGTGAAGAGACAGGATTGTTCCTTTGAGCAGACCACAAACTCCCCAAAATTCTTGTTTAAATCTCTCATGAAAAACTAAAGTGACAAAATGAAACATGATTTATAACTGCAACCTATTTGTTGCTTGGCATCCTCAAAGACACTGAACTCCTAAATGCCATGAAGATGACTGGGTATGCAGCCCTACAAAACACAATGGGTGGGACAGCCTCTGAAGAACACATAAATCTGTTGGCCCCATGGCGGATCCAGATGGAAGGTCCATCATATTTTGAAGTTTCCCTTGTTTTTGTTGCAGGCTGTCCCCCATTTTTGGATTAGTTTACAAATGCTGCTAAATAAAATTCCAGATATCTAAAGAACATTTTTTTTTTACACATCGAAATGGCACTTCAAGCAAGAACTGTACATTGCTTTATTTCTGCATGTGAATACACAAATTAGAGAAAAGCTATGCCTTGGAATGAAAAATTGATATTGGAAATTAGATAGATGAACATGGATGAAAAAATGAGAACAGAATTTCATTGAAGAATAAAAAGTCTGGGTTTATCCCAGATCAATTTAATAGAGAAATACTGGAGATTATGGCTGTGCATTTAACACCACTCCTTTCTTGTACATTAAAAATTCAGCTTTAGCTGCAAAGAAGCTTGCCAGGTAAACACTCATCTATTGTTCCTATGAACAAATGGATAATAGAAACCGGACAAATTTATATATACTTGTTACCTATAAAATCAATTTCTTAATGGCCAAACGGATAGGAAGCCTGCACCTGCAATAAGCTTTTGTCTTTTTCAGAAGCCTTAAAAAACTGCACACATTTTCAAGAAGTGTTGACCAATCTCACCACGTACAACCAGCAAAGACACACTTTTTATTCCAAGTTCCTTCTATTTTGAAAGTCAGGTAGTGAGAATGAAAACTGCAACAAATCCTTCCCTTAGTTTTTAGTAATTTTGAGGAGAGTCACAAAATCACACGTATAAGTCATATTCAGAGCTGGTTAAAGGTAGATAGGAATTATTTCTTTGTTACAGACAGAGGAAACAAGCCACCACCTTTAAGTAATTAACCCAAAATCACATCATATTTTAAGTGACAGATCTGAGAATGGAACTGTTCCATAAGACGAGTCTCTCTGGCCTATTGAAAGATGTGTAATTAAACGTTTAATGGAGAACCTTTCTGTAGGATCCTACTTTCAAAAATAAATGCAGGTGTGAAACTACACACAGTACAGGATCCAGCTTTTCACCAGGAAAGAATAATTTTAAAAGATGAAACCACTGCATTCCTTCTCTTCTTACTTTGGTATACGTGTAGAGTGTCTACCATAAAAATAACTTTTTGAATCTTCCTGCTTCTATGATATTAAAAAGAGCTGAAAATAAACTGAGTGGTATTTGTAAGCTGTTCATAACTAGAGAACAAGAATACATAATCATGCCACTGACAATATATACTGACCAGTTTTATGCAGTTTAGATAAGGTTACATGCTTCTGAAAACATATATCTTGATACAAATTACTAAAGTTTATCAACAGAGAAACCCTAGGAAACATGCAACAGGAAAAATAACAAAGATATAACTATTTTGTTCAGGACTCCTGTTTTCCCTGTTTACAGTTGAATTTAATTTATTATTATTAATATATCTACATTTTAATCAATTTAATATACTAGAGTGTGCTTTGTTATGTAATTCTAGTTTATAGAACTTTATCTTTACAGCTTTTTTTGTTATTAGATACTTCTCCAATTACATGTAAACATTTTAGGAAAGATTAAAGTAATTTTTAATTACAGTTAGTGGAAAACAAGCTGTTTGTACTCCTGCTGTAGCAGAGATTATAGGTGATATATAATATGCTACACCATATGTTTA